GTAGACACTCACTTTCTTTTGTCATGTATAGGTATGTGGTCTAATGACACAGCCTCTTATAAGACTTCTGCTACCACATCCGAAACAGTCGAGCAGCGCTGCGTCGTCCAGTTCTAATACTCCAAGGTCAGTGAGGGTACCGCTCCTCGGGCATCAACAGGACTCTGAAGCTGATTTGAGTGACGAACATCCACCTACTAGTCTACGCATGCTTTTAACAACACCTACTCACACTGTGCATCGCTGCTGGCGAAAGTTCGATGACGCGTTCATGCGACCAGTGTTTGGTGGACGAGGGTTCGTTCCTTTTGTTCCCGGTTCACCGACTGAACAGAATCCACATTGATGATGATGAAAGCAAGGATAAAGAAGAACTACAGAGTATTTTCTAAGAGTTTAGTCAGATGAACCTGGGGACATTTTATGACCTTAAATAGACTGAATGGAATCCACATTGTATGGTGCTGGATTGTATTATATTTGCATGTCAATAGACAATCACTTTGGACTATTTTCCAATTTATTATCATTTCATCAGAATTTTTCTTCAACGTATTTTGAAAAGTGATTCTATGGAGGAGAGAAAATCTTTTCTTGCTAGATTTCATTATTTTCGAGTTCGTCTAAATCGCCGAAATAAATACAAATACAAATACAAAATAAAAAATCATTATTTTGAATTAAATAAGAAAGGAAATTCCAGACCTTGTGCAAATAGAAAATGGAAAAATTTATTATTGAATTTTGGATAAGGGTTAGGGTTTATCTTTCGAAGTTTTGATTTGGGCGATTTAGTTTTTAATTTGGGGATTTTTTATTTTAAGATTTTGAAGTTTGTTTCACAAATTATTTAGAAGTTGTTGTTTTAGACTTTTAGTTGAATGCATTTTTAATTCGAGTGGACAAATTAACGTCGCCAATGCCACATCAACTTTTAGAGTTTTTCGTCAATTGTGGATAAAAGGGAGTGATGGATGGGTAAATGTTTGCATAGATAAGTGAGTAATGGTTAACCCTTTTTTAGTTCGGTGAGCAAGTAATGGTAAATTTCAATGAGCAGTGATTTAATTAACTCCTTGTCCATCAAAAAAAATAGTGGTTAATAAAAATCTACAATCATTTTATATGTATAATTAGCATAAAACGTCCCCAACATTTGCGTTCATTACGCAAATCATGACTGTCATTTCAAATTTGTTATTTACATCCTCATTTTAATCTTTTATTGCGGAGTTGGTCATTTCCGTCAATTCCTTTCGTCAAATGAGAGTAATTGATGCAAAATATTCCTAACGTTTGTCTTTATTGCACAAAACGTCTCTATAAGATTATAGATAAGTATGGCTGATGTCTTAATCTTATCTAAAAGTATAAGAGAATTTATTTTACTCTTAATCCTCATTGAAACAAAATAAATATATAACAAGTTTTGACCAACTGATTTAGCCCATGTTTGGTATAGATTAAAATTAGATTTTTAATAAAAGTTGATGAAATATGAGGTTGAAAAAATTGTATATTCCATAAAATATGTAATTATAATTAATCTACGCCAAACAAGGGTTTAGTCTATCCTTTATATCCAAAAGAAAAATGTCAGTATCTTAAGTGTTTGACACCCATTTTGGAAAAGAATTTGATTTGGAATAGTGATTGATGAAAAAATGTGTGGTTAAAAAGTAAGGAGAATTTTTGAATTTATGTGTAATATTATTTTATGTGAAAATTACATAAATCCAGATATTTAAAGATTACTTTTTAAAAATCAGGTACTATATTAAAACCCTAATTAATTACATCTCAAACCCTAGAAGCCATTTCCATTTTCTTTCTCTCTCCATCTATTCGTCTTCTCTCTCTCTTGTCTTTTCCGCCTTCTCTCTCTCTCTACCAGCCTTCACCGGTGACTCCTCCCATCTATGCCGGCAACTTCACTACGCTCATCACATCGATGCAAATCCGCTTCGCTCATCGACAATTGGGTGGTGGTGGTGGTGGTGGTGGCGGTGTGTGCGGTGCGGTGCGGTGGTGGGAACGGAGATCGGGAGGTGTGTGCGGTGATGTGCTTTGGTGTGGTAGAGGTGGAGGTGTGCGGTGCAATGCGACGGGTCGGGTAAGTGGTGTGGTGTCGTGCGCGGGTGGTGGTGCGATGGGGGTAGAGTTGTTCACCGGACCGTTGCTATAGTTCAGGAGTATAGATCCATTCTTCTTACCCCTTTTTTTGAGTGATATGGTGATGACAATTCGGTGGTGGAGGTGTGCGGTGCGATGGTGGGTGCGGCGATGCTGTGCTTTGTGGTGCTGTAGGTGGGATGGTTGACTGAATCGTGTGGTGATGTGTGCGTTGGAGGTGGTCGTGTACGATGCTGGGGCAATGGTGGTGGAGGTTCAGTGGTGGTTGTTGTGTGCAATGTCCTGGTTGTAACGGTGGGGGTGGTCGTGGCGGTGGTCTTGGGTGGGATGAGATGAGATGGGGTGGGGTGTGTGTTTGTGACCAATTATTTGGTTGGCTATGACCAATAATTGGTTAATTTTTGACAAATAAATAATATGTGACCTAAAAATTGTGATTGTGACTGTGACTCACAATTTATTAAGTTGTAATCGAGTTGTGACCAATAAAGTTTTGATTTTTTCGATCTGTGACCTATAAAAAAATTTAATCGTGGCAAAAAAAATCAGTGACTATAAAATTCTTGATTTGTGATCAAAAATTAAGTTGTGACCAATAATTTGATAAGTTGCTATCGAGAATTTGTAATGAATAAATGAGTCGTGACCAATAAAATTTTCGATTCGTGACAGATGAATAATATGTGATCGATAAAATTTTGATTCATGATCGAGAAAAAATTCGTGACCAACAATTTGATAAGTTGTGACCAAGAATTAATTTTTAACTAATTAATTAGATAATTGTGACCAAATTGCATATAATTGTGACCTTAACAATTGTCGGAATCGCAGGAGTCGCAGGAATAATGCGGCGACGGAACGGTCACCACAATAGTCACCAGTATAATTATCGGAATTAAGTGGCGGTCGAAACGGTCTCCGGAACAATCGTCGGAGTATAGCGGCCACAAGAAAAGTCACTAGAATAGTTCCCGAAACAATAAGGGTGTTGGAGGTGGAGGTGTAGGTGGAAATGGAAGTGGAGGTGGGGTGGCATGTGTTAATTATATTATATTACAATTGAATTGTATAATTGTGATTTTAATATATTTAATTAATTAATAAATATTTGATTTTTGTAATTTTTAAATTCAAGGTCTGAAAATTGATTTGGTGACAGTTAAAACTTGATCCATGAATTCTTCCCTTATTTTATTGATAGAATGTGAGGAAAAAAAAGAGAATGGAATGAGAAAAAACTGGACCTTAAAACAAAAAATACTAGCTTTAAGCTTAGCCAAACAGGCATGGCGGAAATTAATAAATAAATCGACATCCTGGATGGCATTTGATTGCCAGCTCGTCGTCTTCAATTGGCACAATCTTTTAGTATTCATAACCAATTATCATAGCAGTTTCGAAGGAGATCGCAATTGCACGATCTGATGGCATTCTACCGAAGCTCCGTTTTACTCCGCAAGGCCCTTAGCAGCTATTGTAGCCGAAGAGCAGCTGTTTTCCCCTCCTACGGTTCACTTCCCTGCGACTGCGATTCTTCCGATCATGACTGGAGGAGGAGATCGTATTCGAGTTCAGAATCTGACAGTAAAGATACAACCATATCAGCGGCGGGGTACCATCTGAGTAACGGGCCATCTTACATGCGGGGTGCAGTGTTCTGGGAGCCAAATAAGCCTCTTACTTTCGAAGACTTCCACATGCCCCGCCCTAAGGCCAACGAAGTTCTCATCAAAACTAAGGGTATTATCTTAGTGTATTTGTTATCAACACCTTTTTGTGCTACAATGTTTTATACGTCTGTTCAATTGTAAAATTGTTGACATTGATCACTAAAAAAAATTGCAGTTAACAAATGTTTTACCCCAGATAATCTTCTGCATATTTTTAGCATTTTGTAGGAATTATGTAGTCAAGTAGGGTTGGGTGATGTAATCATCAGTTTTCTATGTGGCAAAAGCTTAATACCGATAAAGTCTCTTAGAGATCACCCTTATGCACATCTTCAGTGTTGACCACTGTTAAATGTATTTCATATTTTTCTTTTATTGCGTGACAATGTCTAATAAAAGGAGTGTAGTTTTTAAATGTGTTTGATGATACAGCATGTGGAGTTTGCCACTCTGATCTTCACGTAATCAAAGGTGAACTTCCTTTTGCCAGCCCTTGTGTTGTGGGTCATGAAATTACTGGTGAGGTAATTGAACATGGGCCGCTCACTGACAGTAAAATCATCGAAAGGTTTGATAAGTTGTAGTGTTATATTTGATAACTTCTGCATAGTTTTGGACACGGAGAAGAATTACTTCATTCAATTTCCAGACTTCCTGTTGGATCTCGTGTTATTGGAGCTTTCATAATGCCATGTGGTAGCTGTTTCTTCTGCTCTAAGGCAAGTGTGTTGAGAGTGTGTGATCTGAATTGAGTTTGATGACTTTGATAGTGAGGTAACATTTTTCCTTATGATGGCATGTCGGCTTCTTTTCTTGGGTGAAAACAGGGACAAGATGACTTATGTGAGTCCTTTTTTGCTTATAATCGAGCAAAAGGAACACTTTACGATGGTGAAACAAGGCTATTTCTCCGCAATAATGGTATATTCCTGACTAAGTTCTCCAGCATAAATAAACATTGCACAACAATTATGCATATAATCTCCTTAACAACTTGACCAGTGGAAATATGCATCTTTTATTTTCTTGTAATATTATGTGTTTGCCCTGGAGATCTCTTTTTCTGAGGCTTTCTGCATAAGTGATTTTACAATTTGTTTAAAGGCATGGTATCGTTTATATAATATCAAGTTGATAAAAATCACTGATTATAACTTTGTCTTAAGAGTGCTGCAGACAGTTTTTTGAAATATTGGTTGTCACTTGTCAGGATAGAACTTGCCTGCTTCCTTTGAACCATTTTGATTGCGATGAACATGCAGAAATTTTCATATGTATGCTATTATGTGTTTAATTGTCTCCAGTCATCTGTTTTGGGGATCCTAGATTACATGTAGGATGTTTTTGTGTGTGTGTTCACGTGTGTTGTTATGGGTAAGTAAATAAGAGCTTGAAAGAGGAAGTGGTCACGTCAAACTTGCATCCTAGAGCTATTTTATAATTACTCTTCCTAATACCGTTGAACCTTCATCCTTGGTATATAATTAATATCTATACAATTTTGAATACATACAAGTGCCTATTACAGTTGGCATCTTGGGTCAACATACATTTTTGTGCAGATAAGCCAGTGTATATGTACAGCATGGGAGGTCTCGCTGAGTTCTGTGTGGTACCTGCACATGGATTAGCAGTTCTACCCAACTCCTTGCCCTATACGGAGTCTGCTATTTTAGGTTGTGCAGTTTTTACTGCCTATGGGGCCATGGCTCATGCTGCTGAGGTGCGTCCTGGTGATGCCATTGCCGTTATTGGCATTGGGGGTGTTGGCTCAAGGTAATAAGCTAAGATATAGTGCAGTATTTAGCTTCGATATTGCATTGCCTTCATAATTATTGTGCAGGCAATGGTAGAAGGCCTTGAATTGGATCTTGTGAAAAATAGGGGCACGTCTATTACTCACGTTTAAGATTTTCATAAACAAAAAATGGTAGGGTTTCTCTTAAGTTGTCAAAATAGTTCCATGCGAAATTACTTTCGTAAAATATTACTTGGGGGATTTTAGTAGAGGAAAAATTATTACTCGTTTAGGAAGTTTCTTCATTTAGAATTACAATGTAAAACTACTCCCTAGCCCATGTCAAATCAATTGCTTCAGATAGCTGATTCATTGCTATCCCAGTATCGCAGATTTCTGATTATTAGGAATTGGAAAAGCTAGGTCAATCTTGCAAGTTTAGTCACATGAAATAGAATATACGTGTATCTGAATGAACGACAAGGAACACACACCAATCAGATCTTTAGAGTTCAAGTCCTCTTTTAGAAACAGGGAAAGGATAAAACCGCAATTTTGTAGCTCTCTAAAAGTTTTGAAGCTTTTTTGCTGCTTAAGTTGTTGAAGTTGGCAGAAACAACTATTTAAGTAACCCAGTCTTGCTTTCTTATTTCCAGCTCCCGGGGTGGGATGAAAACCACCACCTGTAGCCCCCACTTTAGAAGTGATAGAATAATCACAAAATCTTGTCACTAAAATGTCTATAGCATGTATTGGATTTTTCAAATTACAAGATCACTAGAATTGACTGGAAAACATTTTCACGCGCCCTTGACATGTACTCGGCTAACATTGACTTGTGAACCTGAGGCCCTCTCAAATATGAATTTCAATACATTTCTTTTTAAAATGATTTAATTTATTCTGAGTGAGTTGTGATTGTTGCCAGTTTGATGCTCCACTTTTTTCATCATAATAATGATAAAACAACATCAAACAGTTGTCTGCAGATAGCAAGAGCATTTGGGGCTTCTGAGATTATTGCGGTAGATGTTCAAGATGAGAAACTTCAGAAAGCAAAATTGTTTGGAGCCACTCATGCTATAAATGCAAGAAAGGATGACGTCGTTACAAAAATTAAAGTATATACACCTTATTTCCCAAATCTTTATTAGTTACAGATATAGTAATAAAGCAAATAACTCTGACAAAGAGGCTACTACTGCATGCATTTGCAATTTAAATATTTGTGCCGACAATCTTCATTTGGAATGCCTGTGCTTCCTTATCCTTTTGATGTGATGTTATGGAACTGTAGTCATGCAACTTCAAAGGTAGACTGAAGTCACATGATCATCGGAGAGCAAGTTACTCGTTATAGATAATATAACTTATTTACCATCCTCATTATTTGTTTTAGAATTAATTTCTGTAGCTCTCCATAATATGGATCCTAAATTTGTAGTGTTGGAGGACAGCACAAGTTTCTCAACCACAACACAGTTGTTTTTATTCACGTTTACATGTTTTTCTTTTTCATCTTGAAGAGTCAAGAGACTCAAGCTATGTTGTGCATTATAAAGCTCTCCACCACGACACTAAACTTGTATTGCAGTTGCACTTCAATTTTCATTCGAGCTACCAGAATAATTTGCAATCATATGTGAAGTGTTTGATGAAAAACATTTCACAGGTTTGAGTTGGAGTAGCAACACTGTTCTTTAGGCCAATTCGTGTAACTTCAATATTTAATGGTATCTTTGAGATCGTCTGTGGAAGCATCTGGACTGCAGTTCATCTGCATCCTACTTTTGATGTCAATATGTTATTTTTCTTTAATGTCAATAAAGAGCTATGTCTGCTTGTCATTTGAAGACAACAATTTCTTTATTTTGGATGAGAACTTTCTGCCCATCATTTTTTTCTTTTACCATATTAATTATCGCCTTGTACATTGATTTGAATATTTTGTTGACAGCATAGTTTTCCTTTTCTTCATGGACCTATGCTGTAGTAGTTTGAATATTGTGTCATGTTATAATACTTGAAATGCATGTCAAATGATTTCTACATTCTTTTGATCCATTTCTACTAATTGATCGTGCCTGCCAAAAAATTTCAAATATTTCATAAAATAGATTTCTAACTTAGAGCTATGCATGGTGAATTTAGAAGAGTGAAATATGCTTTTCAAAATTCCTCCCTGACTCTGCTGTATTTGACCAGGACATAACAGGGGGAAGGGGTGTAGACATTGCTGTTGAAGCCCTCGGAAGAGTGCAGACATTTTCACAGTGTGTACAGAGTGTCCGAGATGGAGGAAAAGCTGTAATGATTGGCCTTACACTCTCTGGTGCTAAAGGAGAGGTAGATATAAACCATTTGGTTCGAAGACAGGTGTGTATTCACCTTCTTCCTATAAATTTACTATCTTCCATGTCGTCCATGCTAAATATTGATTAGGGGTGTACTGCAGTCCAAGTGATCTTCGACATAAAGCAGCCTGATTTTCTTTCACCTCTGAATTCTTTTGATACTGATGGTACAGATTAAAGTGATTGGCTCATATGGAGGAAGGGCAAGGCAAGACCTTCCAAAGTTGATCAAATTGGCAGAAAGTGGCATTTTTAATCTTGAGGTAGCTGTTTCAGAAACACGAAAATTCAAGGAGGCAGGGCAAGCATACAAAGACCTTGATCAAGGAAGTATTGTTGGTCGTGCTGTAGTTGAGATCATGTAATTGTATGTTGGAGATGTCTTTTCAAACCTCCGGTGACCTAAGTTTTAGTTTTTCTTAGAACGTTTAGTGGGAATGTGTTGAAAATAATCTCACTTGACTGAAAAGAACATTTTCTTGTACCAAAAAGAAGACATTCTCTATAACTGTGTTTAAACATTATTTCATGTCAATTTCTCCGTTTCTTTGTTTTTTGCAATTTTAAGTTGCAAGCCACTAGAGGGTGCAACCGCTCAAGTCAGTTGGGAACTCGAGCATTGGCCCCATCCCAACCAATTTCCCTCATATACACTAGCTTTTCTCATTGCAACTTACAGAGCAATGCTAAACAATATGATAAATGATCTTTTTCCAAAATTTGAACTAACTAATGAATATCATTTACAAGGATTAAGAGTATTGCATATTGTGACATCAGGTGGGCCTCAATATGAAAAATCCCATGCAATGATGACCTTTTGCATCCAAAAATTCAGTCACATCAAAAATGGATAAAACTCTTCATCAGAGGATAATAAAAACTCACTACTCCTGAACCCACTTAGCGAAGCAATCATCTCAACTGTAAAGAAACCGTCCCCTATCCCACTCACCCTTTTCATCCGGTAAATAGTTGTATATGTACTGCACCGCCTACTTAATCTAGCTGGGAAGATGACAGCTAGAGTTCTTTCCACTTGTTTACATACTTAAGGAAGGCAAATGCGGGATTTTCCCTAGGTGGTGCACGAACGCGAGTAGACCTCCTAAGCACAGCCTCTTCTTCCATTGCAATCCTGTGAGCAGCCTCCTTTGATCTTTTCTGAAGTTCCAAGCTGCAAAAATGAATTTAAGATGCATTCCAAGTTGGATCAGAATCGATTTCCCAAGCAAAGTCATTAGAAGCATCAAACGAAGCACAACAGTTACATAAAAAAATCATTGCTCAAGGAGTTTTGGATATTAATGGCTAAGTAGAAGTTAATAAAGAAAAACAATTCCAGCTCATTCTTCAAAAGTAGGAAAAAAGACATTCTCCAGGATTAATATGTAAAGCTGTTCAGTAAAAATAGAGCATCTTCGGCTATAGCTTAAAAAGTTTATTTACAAGTAAATACGTTTAAAATAAATAATTTTATATTGGTTAAGTTGGAAATAAGCAAGTTAGTGACTTTAATAGTAAGGCAATAGTTACTTCCAAAATAAAACTTGTGCTTAAAATAAAACTATTGAAATATCATTTACAGTGTGCAATGATAATTCCCAATTGAGGGTGTAAATAACTTCTGACGATCGGAAAAAGATATTTACTTAAAATTCCACCCAATTACATGACATGTAAATTCAACAGAAGGTAAGGTAAGTTTCAACAGAACAGATGAAACAATAACCAAAATCCAGAGCAAATGGCAACAACAATATTCTTATTGCTTTATAATATCAAACCACATTTAAAATTAAAGATCTACAGCCAACCAAGCATATGGAACACATCGATAGCTTACTTTTGCCAGGGACAGGACACAAGTTTAGTATTTGGTTTAGCAATCAATATGGCTCATTTCACGAGGGTTCACACCGGCATTTTACTTTCTCCCACTCCCACTCCCCCACTTGAGGCACGGAAAATGAGAAAGTAGAAAGTAATACTCTTGGTACAAGTTCAAGAATAACTTACTTTATTTTGTTGTAGTTTTTCTTCAGCTGCTTTTTAAGAGCTCTTTCCCTCTCACCCTTTGGATTCAACGAGCCAATTAAAGCATCAAGCTATGAAGAGCAAAAAAAGATGAAAATATATATCAACAATATAAAACAAAAACTAGAAAAAATTCGAAACAGAGTGACTACAAATTATTACCTCTTCCTTAGTCTCGTAATAACCCCACAGCATGGAGTCAGTACTCTCAACAAATAATTTTCCTTCACGTCGGAAAAACCAATATCTGTTACAATTTCTGTCTTTCCCCAGTGGATTGGTGCGTACAATTCTCTTCTCCATCTCCCGTTCAAGGTATTCTTTCTGCACAAGCAAGCAATCAATACAAAGATCAGCGCAGACGTCCATAATGTGCGTGGATGCATAGATACACTTCATCCAGCCCCTTTCTCTATCTCTCTCTTTAGAGATAGAATGAGAGGGCAAGGAGGGTGGGGGTGGGGTGGGGGAGGGGGAGGGGGAGGGTTGGGTGGGAGAGAGAGAGAGAGAGAGAGAGAGAGAGAGAGCGAGCAAACCCTTTGTGCAGTATTTTTCGTTTCTATTGCTTCCTTGATGTCAACTTTCATCAGTTTCAGGGCCTTTCTAGACGGATTGCTAGTATCTTCTATCGAGGCATTATCATCCTTCAGTTTGTTAGCATTCTTCTCAAGGACGATGCCTCGTTCACTCTCACTATCAGATGTTTTAAGGGTAGAAATAAAGAGAGGGTGAACAGAGAGAAAGACATTATATTTAACCCAACTTCCCAAAGAACAATTTCCACTGGAAAAATTAGAACATTAAATTCCAACCTGTCCCCAGATGAGAGATTCTGTGGAGAGATCCCATTCCTTTTCTCTGAAATAAGTCCATTCAGTTCATTGTGATTACTAGCAGCAGATTTCAGTCTATGCTCTACTGCAACTTCCTTGACGTCAGTCTCTGCTTTCCTGCGTCCTTTTTCTTCCCTCCTCTTTTTACCTTCCTCAAGTGCTTCATCTCTCCTTGTCGAGGCAAGTGCATGATGCTCTTCAATATGCTCGTCCAACTTCTCCCGAACAATGTCTGTCGCAAGGACTTGATCGACCAGTTCTCGGAAGATTTCCAGTTTCACATTAATGTTTAAAAGGCCATAGTGACCCCGCTTAATTGTACTGACGTGGGTAGATAATTTCAAAGCACAACTTGTTTCCACAAAATCACATAAATACTCTGTCCAAGTGATCGCTGTAATCTGGAATGAGAAGATAAAGTTGGAGGTCAACAATAAGAATAGGGTGATGAATTTTCAAAATAAATGGAGAAGTCCATCAAAAAGAATTCTACACGTGATATAAATAATTATTGATAAACTATATGTTCAAATTGTTTAACCTTTGGCTTCCTTTTCTTATTTTCTATAGCCATGGAGAAGTCCCCATTGTCTTTCATTAGCAAGCGAAGAAGAGCTGAATAAGATTCCACAATGAGAGATGGATTACTGTCCTTATGGCAAATGGCATTTTCAAAATCTCCAAGGGAGAATGGCGACAAGCTTAATAACCTGCCAAAAGAAGTACAGAAATCCCACACCATCAAAAGATTCCCAACACACTCCATGGGTACATAGAAATCCCTGCATGGAGAAGGACGCTCTGTCAAATATTGATCTTCCTCAGAAGGTTGCACCAATAGATCGTCAATGGGATATTTAACAGCCTGAGCTTCTGGTTTCTCATTTCCTTTCCTGTGAACGAAACCATTTTCATTCGACTCCTGTTTAAAATAAAGAATACAGGAACATCAGAATTAATTCCAAAAAGAAATAAAAAGACGGCAATCGAAACAAAATCTCAATATTTACCACAGTATTTTTCTCATTGTCACTTCTCTTTCTCTTCCTATTACTAACTACAAGTCCATCTTGTATGGAAATTTTACTTTTTAGTTCTTCAGGAGGAGAAGTAGAAATTCCATGTTTCTTCACCAAACTATCGTGTAAGACCCAGGGAAAACTTCGATATGTTGAATCTTTGATAAAGGACTTGAGAACAGCCCTAGTAAAAGGCAGTTTCTTCCCAGTCAAGTCTTCGCCTTTTAATAATGCCTTTCCAATTACTTTATTATCACTTCCAAGCCAGGCAACCTCGTAATGAGTTTTGTCCGCCTCTTCGGAAACCTTCACAATTTTACACCTATGTAAACGGCCATCCTTTTTCCCATATAATATAGCACCCTCTGAGAAGGGTCCCTGTAACTTTGCAGCAATAGAATTTGCGAGATCCCTTAATGTGAGCATGCCTGCCAAAAAAAAATAACAAAAAATTTTGAACGATCTGAAGTAATGTGAACAAAAGTGATTAACAGACCAAATCCACATGTTCGAGGAAAAAAAAATTAAATCTATCTGAAGCAATGTAAACAACAGTGATTAATAGACCAAATCCCTACTCAAATTCAATTTGAGCCATTGGCTAGCTGAAGAAGTTCCCTGCAGTTAGAACTTAATTTTCGTACTCGAATTTCACAAAATCATAAGTTAAAAAAGTTAGTTGGCATATCGGCAATTTGCCTATTGACTCCTAGAGTTGAGCTCCAATCTAGAGCTCACAGTGGGCAAGGAGAGTTGGAAGAGGGCTTGCTAGTTTTAAATTCATGGTATCTAAACATTGTCAAAGCATACATACAATTTAAATCAAAGGCTTGTTACGTCAACTAGCACCATGTTTCTCTTCGTTGTTTCAAAAGCTCATAAAGAATTAGTATAACTTACAAGTAAATCAGATATAAGATGGTAACTAGAGCTGCTACGTTATGATTATATAACTTCAAGACAATAACTAAATATACACTAAAATATCTATACGTTCAAATTGAGTAGCAAAACTAATCCTTTAAAACAATATAGAAACATGTATGTACCATGTATATAAAACATGTTTATGTGAAATGGTGCAAAACAGAGTCTAGAAGGCAACATAAAATAGTTGATGCCATAGTTTTGCTGATATTCATGTACAAAACCAACTTCATAGATTATCATAATGATATATACCTAAATCCAGTACACATGAACAATGAGCCAGTCTTGCTTCAAGGGGAAAAAAGATGGAGATACCAAGTGAATTCAATTGCCAAAAGTATAATTTACTAACTAGTCAGCTGTGAACATCATGTGACAAGAGGCAACTCATCTTGCCATTTTTTATTGATAAAAATCATCAATGAGCATCATATGGTCGGAAACAAATTCAATTTTGACATTTTTTGTCAACCAATCAATTTCAATGTTCCAGGCTTAATACTCAATTTTATTTTGTCAAGCTCCTTCTCAATAACCACGAGACATTTAACTCCAACCGATTCTGAAAATAACAGCAAAATATTGGTCACAAACCATAATAACTTTCCGACCTCCATTCATGCTTTATCCCCATGCCATTTCTACTGGAATCCGCAAGCATCACTATGGAGTCACAGTTTTCATTAAAAATTCCTATGCATTTTTAGTCAAACAAAGTTATATCCCATGTTTAAAAGGACAAAATTGGGTACTGAGATTTTTTCATTTGAGGCGAGGATCCTTAAGGCGCTTTGAGGCGTAAGCCTCTCCATGAACCAAAAAAAATATATAAAAATAACATCTTTCTAGGAATTGCCAATAGAAAATTACTATATTTCAAATTCCATCTCAAGTCTCTCTTATTTTTTCTAATAATGATTAAAATTAATTTAAGAATCAATTAATCTAAAGTTCAATATTTCAACACTCACTGAACTTTGGTGTATGTCATGAGTTCCTCACCGAACTTCACAATGCTCCCCACTAGCCACTCAACCTTAGTTTTTTGCGCTCCATCACTCACAGGATGTTTTTTGTCTCAAACACGCCTTACCCTGTGAAATGAAAACCTCCTCAAAATAGGGGAAACAGAAATAGAAAACTGCTGATTCACTAAATACACTAACTGCTGATTATGAACACCATGATGATGCCGACTCCGAACGGGCAACAGAAAGTAAAATTCTTTGTCGCCTATTTGAAGGTTTTCTTAATTCCCAATAATTAAATTTAAAGGTTTTCTTCAAATAAAAATAAATAAATTAAAGGTTTGTTATAGCCAAATCTACACATATTTTCTCAAGTCTCTCATTGCACATTTTCAATTTCCCAATAAAAGCTCTAAATCCGTATGAGAGAAAATCCAAAAAATGGGGAGCAGCGATGTGGAGGTTCGAAAAGCTACAAAGAGAGGACTTTGAGTAATACATGCAGATTTACTCCATAATTCTGGGTCACAATTCCAAGAGTTCTTCTATTGACGTTGAGCTCTCCTCCTTGCGCGGCGGAATGAATATCAACCGCCACCATGCCCGCATTTTCTACGATTTCCGTCGCCGCCGAAAATAGCTGTTTTATAGAGGGCATTCTCACCTCTCCGGCAACCCTCCTGTCAAGCTTGAAGATGTAGAATGGATGTGGGTGGGCGGGGTTAGGGTTACAAATGATTTTGGGGATTCTTGATTTCTCCTTGCACGATTTCTGTTTTCCCCATTTTGAAGAGGTTTTCTTTTCACAGGAGTAAGGCTTGTTTGGGCTGAAAATCAAGATTTGATGACATGGAGACCACATAGGTGTTTCATTTTATATTTGGAAGGATTTAACTGCCACGTAGGAATTCCATCATCCACGTGGACTGAATGAGAGACGGAAAACATACGGTGAGTAATGGTGTGCAAAAACTTAAAGTTGAGCGGCAATGGGAAGCATTGCGAAGTTCGGTGAATAGGCCGTGACATATGCCAAAGTTCAATGAGTGTTGAAACATTTAACTCATTAATCGATCATCTAGTTAGTGCATGCACATATCATGTATCTATCATGGGTTCATCATGTTTTTCTTTTGAACCTAAGAAAAAAGGAATAAAGGAGAAGATGAGACAAATGTTGATCAACCAAACAACTCAAAAGTAGATAATAGCTTCTTTTGAGTGGAAGGGCTTAGGGATGTAGGAGACCCATGGAGACTTTCTTCTAATCCCAATTCTGGCTGATAAAGGGAGAGAAAAGTAGTTTTTAACTGTAGCAGGTGAAAAAATGGATTATTTGAGTTCTCCGGTCATCTTTTGGCCAGGAGGATGAAAGGGCTGTGGCATTGGAAAAGAAGAAGGATGGTTTGGGGACTCCTGAACGTGCATAGCCTTGAGAAGCTTTCGTCACCAATGCACATTTATTTGGCAGTATACTACAATTTAAACTTCTTAAACTTACATTCGGCATAAAGGATGTTTTGTCGTGACTTGAGTATGGATCAGATTAAAAAAAAGTTCAAAAAGCAAAATTTACATCTTAAAAGAATATGAATTTATAATTATGCTTGTGGCCATAGATTCTTGTTGCGTACAATCACATTTTGCCTGGTGCCTGACTACCTGGAACTTCACTAGTTTGAAATCACCCAATCATTTTGCAACAGCCTTATATTATTTACAGATGAAGCAATACGACAATATCAACAAATAAAACAAAATCAAAATCTAGGCTCCTATAATTGATGATAGAAAATTTGGAAGTAAAATTCAATGGAAGTGCTAATAACAGTAAGGATAGAGAAATTACTGAATTGAACTTCACGAAGCACAGGAGCCACCAAATCCTTAGGAAAATTTTGGATTCTTTCCGCGGCTTCTTTCTCTGAAACCAAAGCCTCTTCATAGGTTAAGTTAACCTTCCCCGTGGCTTTGCATGTCCACACTCTTTTTCGATATAAATTGATCCTCTTCAAATATTCACTGAACATTGACGAATTGAATTAAAGATAATAGTCAATGCAAAAGTTTTGAAAGCGTAGCACACAGACTCACAAGCATTAAAAATAAAATGGAAACAGAATTTACCTATAATCTCTGAAGATTTCTTTAGTAAATCGGACTTGAAAGACAAGCTCTTGAGGCTTTAAATCCTTGGGCTTCTCCACCAGAGGAAACGGCTTTCTTCTGTACAGAGGCATTTCCGTTACGTTCTTAAGTTTCTTGGAATTTCAACTTCAAACCCTAAGAAAAAAAAAGAAAGAAAGAAATAATTACGGATCCCTCGAAAAGGTAAACAAAAAATCTAAACGAAGAAATCGAGGTAAAAAAAACCGGAACCCAGAAAAAAATCCCAATAAAATGGGAAAGACCAGAACAGCCGATAAATCCTACAAAACATTAAGAAAACAAAAGTCCAGTTCACAATGCCGGTAAAACATACGGAAAACCCAAATGAAAAAAATAAAAAAAAATATCTAAAAATATCTAATTTTGACAATTAAAATTACGGCCGAATAACAGAAAGAAAAAAAAAATCAAGGGCACATTCATTTCATTAATACTCCTCGATACTATAAAGCAATAATAAAACACCACAGCAGATGCCATAAAAAATTAACAAAAAAGAACCTTTTTTTTTCAGTTCGTCAATGTGAAAAATAATAAACAAATTATTTCCCGCCAGAAGCAGACTTAACAACGAGAGGAGTTTTACCAGAGAGAATGAATTGATTTGATTGAGTGATTGAATTTGTGCATGCGTATATGTAATGTGTATATATAGGAGGAGAAAGAGAATCGGTAGAAGAAAGAGGGAAGCGGTGATGGTACGTTTTTTCGCCGCTGAATACTTGCGCGTTGTCTCTCCCTCTCTCTTTCGTTTCCTCGTCCAAAGTAAGTATATTCTGTTTGACTATCATTATTTTTAAATTATTTTTTTATATATTCACTTTTATCGTATATTCACGCAATAAAATATTTTATACGTAAACTCATAATTTTTTCTATTCGTAGCCACACATTCACTTAAAAATCACTATTCAAACCATTTTAGCAAAAATGGTTGATAAGAGCTCTATTTATATAGGGTTTTTTTGTTTAAAGGGCTTCTTTGACCGGTAAAAGGTGAAAAAAAGGCCAAGATTATTATTGATATTTTTCTTTTGAAGACTTTTTGTTTGTTTTAGTCATTGGGGAATTTCAGTGTTGGTTCTTGACCTATTGACCTAGTTGTTATATGGTCCCTACCTAATTTTTTGGTAGAGTTGTTAATCCCCAAATATATATTTGGACTATTTGATTGCTTAATAATCAATTTGCATTTAAAAGATCAAAACTACTTGCAACTGAAATTAAAGAAAAATATCAATGTCAAGACTCAAGACTTTTCTCATCTTTTGAACTACAAGAATGCTAGAGTAAAGATTGTCATGCTTTACTTGCTCTATTGCGCCTACCTAGACCCATTAAGTGAAGAATTGTGGTTGAACAAAGAAAAATAAGACTATCAAGAAGACAAGCTCTACACTCATTGAATTAAATAGGGTGAGATAGACAAGTTTGGAAATGGCGAGATTAGCAGGAGGAAGGGCTACCCCACCCTAAAACAAAAGTGTAAGTACATGAAAATTGGTCAAGCAAGATTTAACAAAGATATATTGTTGTGAAGACTTAGCCACCATACTTTGATGTTCTCCCAATAAGATCAAATACAATGTAATGGCCAATGTGTAGAAAAATGAGTAAGTCATGTTTGTTTAGGAAAAATGGAACACTAGTGGCAAAGATAATTGCGGGGCAGAGGGTTAAGTAGGAATGTCAATTCGACTCGCTGGCTCGAGTGACCAGCGGCTTGACTCAGGAAAAGCCCAAGCTAGCCCATGTTATACAGCTGCCTTTAAAAAAAATAGAATTTCAGGAAAAAAAATAGAGCCAACTCGACTCAGAAAGGCATGAGTCGATCCCTATTTTTCAGTTGAGCCAAATGCTAAAAAAAGCTCAATCCATTTTTACTCAAACTCGAACATTGGCCCGCGCGCCGGCTCAACTTTACTTGTTTACATCCCTAGTGGAAGGGAGAAGGGTAGTGGTGGCAAATGGGCCAAGTAGCTCGACCCCTTGGCTCATGGGCAGCTCGGGCTCATCATCACGAGCCTAGCAAGCTGGCCCACTAGGAGAGCCAACGAGCTCGTCCAAGGCGGGGGTTAATTTTTTAATTTTTTAAAAAGGTTTATATTAAAAAAATTAACAAGCTCGCGAGCCGAAGCTCGTCTCGGCTCACGAGCTCACGGGCCGAGCCGAGCTTGGCCAACGAGTAACGATAGGAGCTCGTGCGCATACGGGCCATTGCCATCTCTAGGGAAGGGAGCTAAGTAAAGGGGTAGGAGGGTCTTGATGGGGGGAACCAAGTGCTCAAAAGTCCAAATGGGAATATTTGGGGACTGCAATTGCAGTATCCCTCAATTTGATAGTTTTTTTTTCTCCACCTCTCTCTCTCTCTATAATAGGGAGTAGGATCTGAATAAGAAAATCAAGAAACAATAAAGTAGGCATTGTGTTGAGGCCTAGAAACTTAATACACTAGACTTCATCAAGATGATAAAACTGGTATAATTACAAATTACTTGCAATTTTACAAGTTAGGTAGGGGAATGACAGGAAGAAACCCAAATACAATTCCATAACATAGATATAACAAGTGATCTGTTCAAGTGGAGTTACCCGAATCAAGAGAAGGGTGATTATGGATTGAAATAACTTATAAAACGAGCTCATTGTGTTGAGACCAAGAAACTAAATCCATTAGATTTCATCAAGATGATAAGCTGATATAATTACAGATTACTTGCAATTTTACAAATTAGGTAGGGGAATGACAGGAAGAAACCAAACACAATTCCATTACATAGATATAACAACTGATCTGTTCAAATGGAGGTACCCTAAACAAGAGAAGGTGATTATGGATTGAAATAACTTACAAAACGAGCTCATCAACTACGAATATGTTTTTGACACAATGTTCAAATGCATTGGTTCCCAGATATGCAGTCATACATATGCCTGCCAAATTTCATGTACAAGTTCGCACTTTGCAGTTTGGCTACCCAGAGCAATCAAGACACCAAAAACTCGCGCCAAACTCTGAATGCAATTCAAATGGATTGCTGCCAACGACCGTCAAGTATGATGAACTTAAGTCCACTCCCCGTGGTAATCTTGAGAGAATAAGTCGGGCTATAATCTCAGCTGATATAGCACTTGTTTCCATGATGCTGGCTGCATTCTCAAACCCATTCACATAGTACAAATGTTGGCCATCTAAAATAAAGGGATCAAATTTCTCAGGAGAGTGATAATGAGGATAAGCAGCCCATCAATTCTGATTATCTCTCTTCTTGTACTGTAGATGCAAATGTCAAGAGAAAAATATGAGGAACAAAGGCAACGGATAGTTGGACTAATATATAACAAATGAGAGCAAATTTAATGGAGTTTCTTCGGTAAACTTGATTGGTCCATGCTACAAGATATCTGATAAGTGTGTTTTTACACACTTATCGTAGGCCCAAACATGTATAATTGTTAATAAATATGTGGAATATAGTTTAATTCGATATAATTTGTATTTTTCAAGACAACAATGATGAAAATGGTGAAAATTCGGAAAAACAAGAGAAAAAGACTAAAATAAAGCACAATCAAAGTTTGAGGACTCGAGTGCAATTATTGAAAAGTTGTGTCAATCTCATGATGAAGATTTGAAAGTGTTGGGCATCAATCGGATGACGAAAGGAGCCAAATGGATGAAATATAGTGGAAGTACTATCACATATCAACTTCTAACCGAAAAGTTATATTTCAAATTTTCAGTCTTAGTTTGAGACCCATTTTTGGAATAGAAGGCGTTCGAATTTGAAGATTTATATTTTAGGAAGATTTGTAGCCCTTTGAGTAATCTTTTCAATTCAATTTTAATCACCTCAATCGTATATCGGAAGAGAAAGATATGACTAAAACATTGAAGGTCGCACAATGGGAAAGTCACTCTACCATGCGGCCGCACGCATGCAACCAGGGAATCAAGAGGAGAGAAATTTTTGTTCCATGTGGCTGCATGGAATATAACCATGTGGCCGCATGGTTAATATTTAGCACGAATTTTCTGGTTTCCTTTTCTCGTTCAACCTCTTATGGAAAGAAATTTAGGGCAACTATAAAAGCCAAAAGTCGTCCAGAAACGAGGGTTACACCACTTTAGAGAGGAAAACTCATTGAAAAG